TTTTTTTTTTTTTTTTTGGATAATTATTTTATTAATATAATATTTCTGGATTCTGCTCGAAAATATATTCAAGATTTTCATACAAATTCATACTTTTCAGAATCTAATTAAGAAAGCGAAATTCTATATGTTTGAGATCACTTCTGCTAACTGCTAGCAAATTCTCGAATGTGTATATAAATAAATAAATAACAAGAATAAGTCATCTTCAGTATGGACACAGCAACAATGAAAAGTACTTTGTAGCTTTCTAGTTGAAATTGTTTGTTTACCCACTTTTCTCAGTGAAGCCTTTTTTCCTATTCGTCAGAGCTTCGTATGTACAATTAATATAGAAATATAATTAACACGACTGCATCAAAAATAAGAGAGAAGAAACAGAGAATTAGAAAATCAAACGGAGAAGGATGGCGAAATAAAGAGATGTACCGATATTCGGCTCGGTTCGTAATGAACTCGTGAATATTTAGTGGTGTAATTGCCCTTGATGAGTCTGACCGTAGCTATAGCAGGTGTCCACAAAATTCGAAAGCAAAACCAATATCAGTGTAGCCACCTGTGCTCGGCTTTAGTTATGTCATACGTGTAGTATATGTGCCAGTTGGCCTTGGTCGTGTTGATAATTTGATTTCCTCGGGGACAGCGGGGAATGACCAGCTACTACATCACAGTCTTATCTCTCCCTTTCCATTCTGTTCGACAACGGAAAGATTTTCGTTGAGTCATCGTTATTACCAATGTTCTTCTCTGCCCGTGATACAATTTCTTTAAATATTTTTCAAAAAATTTTTAACTCGTAATATAATATTACAACACGTAATGTCATCAAATTTTGAACGAATTGAAAACTTTTGATAGACAATTTTTTAGTACACACATTAAAAACTCAACGCATTAAAAATGCTATCTAATATAATAACGTGATACTTTAAAAAGGGAAGAAATCGAAATTTTTCGAACAGCGTTATTAATCCGTCGTTAACGATTTCGCCTGGGAAATGAAAGTTCGATAGAGAAATTAGGAAAAACGATAATTCAGTCGTATGAGAATTACCAGGCACGTAATAAATGTACAAGTCTAAGGAGACATGCAACAAAGCAGCAATCTCTACCAAGCTTGAGCTTGCCTCGTGCAAAGCGGAGGGCCTTTGCGTTCTTTGCACGCCATCTGAGCGTTTTATAATCGG